CAGATTAGCTGAGTCTCTTCCTGTCAGCTTTCTTCACTGTCCAACTTTCACCACCATACATAGAAGTTAGAAATACTATGACATGGATGAGTCTGACTTTGGTGTTTCATGATATGCCTTTAAGCCAGATGAACACATCTAGTTTCTCTATAGCTGCCTTTGCAGGTCTTAGCTTTCTTCTGATGTCTTGACCACAGTCTCTATTTTGATTAATGAGCAAGCCAAGATTAAGAAATTAATCATCTATGGTTGTCCATCCATATTTGCAGACATGAATATTCATGGATTTGATTCCAATGCTCTCTCTAGAAATTTCTAGGGACCTCTAAGACCTCCAATATAATAATAATAATAATAATAATAATAATAATAATAACAACAACAACAACAACAACAACAATAATAAGGCTCTCCCTGGATAGTTCCTGGGGAAAATTGGGAACAAAATTGACAAGGAAAAAACATGGATGTGGCTGACAAATGTAACTTTGAAAAAGGAGATGGGAGGGCTGATTCTTGCAGCCCAAGAACAAGCAATTAGAACCAATGCCATCAAAGCCAGAATTGAAAATTCAATGACAGATTCCAAGTGTAGACTCTGCAAGGAAGCAGACGAAACGATGGATCACATACTCAGCTGCTGCAAGAAGATTGCACAGATGGATTATAAGCAGAGGCACAATACTGTTGCTCAGATGATCCATTGGAACTTGTGCCACAAATACCATCTGCCTGTGACAAAGAACTGGTGGGATCACAAGCCTGAAAAGGTTACAGAAAATGAACCCGTAAAACTACTCTGGGACTTCCAAATTTAAACTGACAGAGTTTTGGAGCACAATACCCCTGATCTCATGATTGTGGGGGGAAAACAAGTACGGATCATCCCTGTTGCAATCCCAGGTGACAGCAGAATTTATTAGAAGCAAATGGAAAAGCTTATGATATGAGGATTTAAAGATAGAACTGCAAAGACTGTGGCACAAGCCAGTAAAGGTGGTCCTAGTGGTGACTGGCACATTGGGTGTAGTGCCTAAAGACCTTGGCTTGCACTTAAAAACAATCAGCGCTGACAAAATTACCATGTGTTATCTGCAAAAGGCCACCCTACTCAGATTTGGATGCATTATTCTCTAATACATCACACAGTCCTAGACACTTGGGAAGTGTCCAACGTGGGATCAAATACAAAAGCCAGCAGAGTGATCTTGTTTTCTGTGTATTAATCTTGTTATGTATCAAATAATAATATTAATTTTATTTCTTGATATGACTTTATGACCAGCTTTGAGCAGAGGTCAATCATAGAGTCATGCTGGAAGACCTAAAAATTTGCAGAGAGGGGTTTTCTCAGGTTGAAAAACAGCAATGGCTTTATTCAGTTTTCTATGGGTGCCCTGTGTCCCTGAACCCAACAAATGTGGAGAATTGACTCTATTTCTGTGTCTTTATTGCCCACTTTAAAGTTATGTAAATCATCTGTGGTCATTATTTCTGTTTGTTGCGACAGTTCTGTGCCACAGAGGAAATACTAAAGGAAGTTATGAGTCATGTTGACTCCATTAGCGTCCTGTAATGTAACCGTCCTTTCCTGCCTACAGCTTATGTAGTATTGGAGAGAAGAGATACTGGGGAGCCCATTGAGTGGTGGATTCTACCTAAGTGGGGCAGTGAATCTGCTCTAATTTTAGCTCTAACTTTAAATAACTTCAAAGCTATGCAAGGTGCCGAATCTATTTGGGGCATAGGTTTAAACACCTTGAAATGTCAGGCTGAAATGTGGAATAGACTCTTTCTTCTCACTGAAATGGAAGCTACTCGGAGCCATTGCATAAATGGGCCATGTGGTTCTGACAATCCAGTGACAAGGGAGATTCAAAGCCTCTTGGAAAGCCAGAGGGCTTTGAATCTCCTCTGATATTTGTGTTTTGTTTCTTTCAAGTAATGGACAGCCAAGTTGCTGTGAAAATGTGTTAACCTCAGGCAAAAACCTGGCTAAGAAATGTGTACACAGAAGTTCTGGAAAACACCATTAAAAAGTAATCAAAGTGAAAAATCTTTTCCCCAGATCACACTCAGTCTGGATCTACACCAGGTATGGGAAAACTTCAGCCCTCCAGCGTTTTGGACTTCAACTCCCACAATCCCTAACAGCCTCAGGCCCCTTACTCCCCCCCCCCTTTTTTTGAGTGTTCTTTATTTACTGTTATGATTTTAGAGTTTTTTTTCAATACTGGTAGCCAGATTTTGTTCATTTTCATGGTTTATTTCTTTCTGTTGAAATTGTCCAAATTTCAATGGCTTCTCTGAACATGAATCAAGGAACATGAAAGGTGCTGCAGACTACTTCAACCGGAGAAGTCAGCCATAGCAGAGCACTTGATGAACCAACCTGGACACAGCATATTATTTGAGAACACAGAAATGCTAGACCACTCTAACAACCACCATGTCAGACTACACAGAGAAGCCATTGAAATCCACAAGCACATGGATAATTTCAACAGAAAGGAGGAAACCAAGAAAAGGAACAAAATCTAGCTACCGGTGTTTAAAAAAACTTTAAAATCAGGACAGTAAAAAAGAACACCCAAAAACAGGGGAACTCCGGACAAGAACAATCTGGGACAGCTAATCACCTCTCAACAAAGGATTCCCCAGGCAGTAAGAAGCCCCATCTCAAAGTGCTAGGCCATTAAATGCTAATGAAGGTAGCCAACGGAAATATTCACACCTAACAGACAAGAGTTTTTTCTCCCACCCTGGACCTTCCACAGATATATAAACCCCATTTTCCTAGTTTCCAACAGACCTCACAACCTCTGGGGATGCCTGCCATAGATGTGGGTGAAACATCAGGAGAGAATGCTTCTGGAACATGGCCATACAGTCCAGAAAACACACAGCAACCCACTTCTGAACTACCTTCAAAGAGAGCATTGTAGTTATCCAGATGAGATATGACTACTAGGGCAATGCCTTATCGGGCATTAACCAGATAAGAAATATTCATTGATTTATTTTTTTTTAGCAAAATGTGCTGCAGGATGACCCACAAAAACAAAAACAAAGCTTTTGCAGTTTCATAAACTTTCCCCATTTTTTTAATGATAGAACCAATTAGGAAATGACATTCCTAACAATACAGGAATAAAAAAATGTGTTACATAGAATCATAGAGTTGGAAGAGACCCCGTGGGCCATCCAGTCCAACCCCATTCTGCCAAGAAGCAGGAAAATTGCATTCAGAGCACCCTCGACAGATGGCCATCCAGCCTGTTCAAAAGCCTCCAAAGAAAGAGCCTCCACCACACTCTGGGACAGAGAGTTCCACTGCTGAACAGCTCTCACAGTCAGGAAGTTCTTCCTAATGTTCAGATGGAATCTCCTTTCTTGTAGTTTGAAGCCATTGTTTCACGTCCTAGTCTCCAGGGCAGGGGCCTCAAACTAAGGCCCGGGGGCCGGATGCAGCCCTCCAAGTTCATTTACCCAGCCCTCGTTCAGGGTCAACCTAAGTCTGAAATGACTTGAAAGTACACAACAGCAACAACAACAACAACAACAATCCTATCTCATCAGTCAAAAGCAGGCCCACACTTCCCATTGAAATACTGATAAGTTTATATTTGTTAAAATTGTTCTTCATTTTAATGTTGTTGTGTTTTTTTTTGTACTACAAATAAGATATGTGCAGTGTGCATAGGAATTCATTCATGTTTGTTTCAAATTATAATCTGACCCTCCAACAGTCTGAGGGACTGTGACCTGGCCCTCTGTTGACCCCTGCTCCAGTGCATCCCTGATAACCAGGCCTGTAGCGAGGGGGGGGGGGTTAGGGATTCAACCCCCACCTGAAAATTTTCAGGTTAAAAAAAATAAACCTGGTTTACTCATGAATTTTAACTGGTTAACCCAATCCCCATGCTGCTAAGTCTATGAGACGCAAAAAATTAAGAGTCCAGAACTGCAAGCACTATCTCAAGCAAATATTGACAATTTATTCACACTGTCATTACTTGCAGCAATAGCCAATGTAGCAAAGCAACCAAGTTGGGGGGGGGGAGTGTTGAATGCTCTCATTAAGGAGGCCAGACTTGGTGGAGGTGGTTGACAGGCAGGTTTCAACTCCGCCCCCAAAAAATTTTCAACCCCCCCCTGAAATTTTCAAACCCCCCCCCCCCCGAAATTTTCAACCCTCCCCGAAATTTTCAAAACTCCCCCCTCCCCGAAATTTTCAACCCTCCCGAAATTTTCTTCTGGCTACGGCCCTGGTGATGTTAGGTTTTTTGGGCTTATGCCCTACTACCTTCGATATCCGTTTCTCATTCCATTGACTCTCAGCTCTCTCCTGTCACCTCAACCCCGCCGCCCGTCCCGCCCGACGCGGCCTGAATCCACGATGCCTGTAAGACGCCGCCCCCGGTGTCCACTGCACGGCAACTCGGTTTCCCCCCTCCCCCGAAATTTTCAAACCCCCCCCCCCCCGAAATTTCCCCCCCGAAATTTTCAAACTCCCCCCCCCCCCGAAATTTTCAACCCTCTCTGAAATTTTTTTCTTCTGGCCACAGCCCTGCTGATAACATAGTGTTATGGGGATTCTGGGAGCAGGAGCTGTAAACACTTGGAAGACCAAAGTTTGGACAACACTGGTGTGGATGCATTCTTGATGAGTCTACATAAGGCATGGGCAAACTTGGGCCCTCTGGGTGTTTTGGACTCCAACTCCCACCATTCCTAACAGCCTCAGGCCCCTTCCTTTTCCCCCAGAGGCTGTTAGGAATGGTGGGAGTTGGAGCCCAAAACACTTGGAGGGCCCAAGTTTGCCCATAGCTGGTCTACACAATGCAAGTTCTCATCTCCACCTTGAGGCTGGCGGGTGCGCTTCCGCCCTCTCCCCAGCAGGGGCCGCCCTTTCCCCCGCCCGCTATTTGTCCCTTTGGCCGGCCTTTCCCCCGCTGGCTCCGCCCCTCCCGCATTCCTGCAGGGCTGCCTCCCTCCATCCGCGGCAATTGCGGAGCGCAAGAGGGCACGGGGCTGCTGCTGCTGCTGCTGCCGCTGTCATTAGGAGGCGGGCGGCGCGGCTGGGTCTCGCTGGGCAACTATGTCCGCGCTGCTGCTGCTCCTGCTGCTCCTGCTGCCCTTCTCCTTTGCGCCCGGCAGCCCTTCTTCCAAAGCCGGGGAAGCTGCGCCTTGAATTGCGAGGGATCCCAGGGGCACAAAGGAAAGGTGAGTCCCTCTTTTTGCGAGCTCTGTTGTTTTCCTTGAGCTGCCACCCCCTCCTCCAGACTTCGCTTGCTGCCTGCTTTTCCTCCCAACTCTCTCCTTGCAACTTCATTCTTCCTAAACAAGCAGCACCCATCCTGATGCCAGCGGGCCATTGGAAACAAAGTCCTTCCGAACTTCTTCCTGGCTTTCCCATCTCTATGCAAGGGCATGTTGACTGTGACTATCTCTTCTCCCAAACTCTTAGGACCAGGGGTTTGTTTGGGCTCTGATTTTGGGATCCTTGCATGCATACAGACATACATAATGAGATCTCAGAGGACCTCAGTCTAAATTGTTATTGCATGGTAACTATCTCTTCTCCCAAACACTTAGCACCAGGGGTTTGGTTTGGCGCTGATTTTGGGATCCTTACATACATAGACATCTTCTATATAAATAAAAATGTAATGTTAGTTTGTGGGATTAACAGAACTCAAAAACCACTGGACGAATTGTCACCAAATTTGGACACAAGACACCTAACAACCCAATGTATGTCCTTCACTCAAAAAAAAATTATTTTGTCACTTGGAAGTTGTAGTTGCTGGGATTTATAGTTCACCTACAATCAAAGAGCATTCTGAACCCCACCAACGATGGAATTGATCCAAACTTGGCACACAGTTCTCCCATGACCAACAGAAAATACTGGAAGGGTTTGGTGGGCAGTGTCCTTTGGTTTTGGAGTTGTAGTTCACCAACATCCAGAGAGCACTGTGGACTCAAACAATGATGGACCTGGACCAAACTCTACACGAATACTCAATATGCCCAAATGTGAACACTGGTGGAGTTTGGGGAAAATAGAATCTTGACATTTGGGAGTTGTAGTTGCTGGGATTTACAGTTCACCTTCAATCACGGAGCATTCTGAACCCCACCAACGATAGAATTGGGCTGAACTTCCCACACAGAACCCCCATGCGGGCCACAGCAACGCATCGCAGGGGATGGCTAGTATATAAATAAAAATGCAATGTTCATTTGTGGGATTAACATAGCTCAAAAACCACTAGATGAATTGCCACCAAATTTGGCCACAAGACACCTACTAACCCAAGGAGTGACCACCACTAAAAAAATAGTTTTTGTCATTTGGGAGTTGTAGTTGCTGGGATTTATAGTTTACTTACAATCAAAGAGCATTCTGAACTCCACCAGTGATGGAACTGAACCTGACATGGCACACAGGACTCCCATGACCAACAGAAAACACTAGAAGGGCTTGTTGGGCATTGACCTTGAGTTTGGGAGCTGTAGTTCACCTACATTCAGAGAGCACTGTGGACTCAAGCAATGATGGATCTGGGCATGTTTAGCCTGCAGAAGAGAAGCCTGAGAGGAGGCATGATGAAGGAGTTGTAGTTCACCTATATGCAGAGAGAAGGAGACTCAAACAGTGATGGTTCTGGACCAAACTTGGCACAGATACTCAATATGCTGAAATGTGAACATGGTGAAGTTTGGGGAAAATAGATCTTGACATTTGGGAGTTGTAGTTGCTGGGATTTATAGTTCACCTACAATCAAAGAGCCCCATGAACCCCACCAGCAATAGAATTGGGCTAAACTTCCCACACAGAACCCGTCTGACCCGTGATCCCCTTAGGGGTCCTGAACTTTAGGTTGAGAAATGCTGATTTAAGCCTTACCCCTTTCTCCAAAATGCTTGGGAGCAGAAGTATTTAGGCTTTCTCTCTCTCCAGATCTGAGGATACTTGCATATACATAATGGGATCCCTTGGAGCCTGAAAACAAAAATCCGTTGAGGCAAAGCTTATATAGGTTGACTATCTCATGCTTGGGACAAGAAATGTTTGGATTTAAGATTTGTTCTTGGATTTTGGAATACTTCCATACATACTTAATGAGTTCTCTTGGAGATGAGACCCAAGTCTGAACATATTTATGTTTTATATAAAGCATATACAAGTTGACTGCCTCTTCTCCAAAATGATTGGGATCAAAAGTCTTTAAACATTTAGGATTTTTTTCTTAGATTTTTGAATATTTAAATATGTACATAATGAGATGGAGCCTCCGGTAGCTCATCGGGTTAAACCACTCAGCAACTGAATTTGCTGACCCGAAAGGTCAGCAGTTCAAATCCAAGGAGCGGGGTGAGCTCCGACTGTTAGCCCCAGCTTCTGCCAACCTAGCAGTTCAAAAACATGCAAATGTGAGTAGATCACTTTGGTGGGAAGGGAACGGCTCTCCATGCAGTCATGTTGGCCACATGACCTTGGAGGCATCCACGGACAACGCTGGCTCTTCAGCTTAGAAATGGAAATGAGTACCAACTCCCAGAGTCGGACATGACTAGATTTAATGTCAAGGGGAAACCTTTACCTTACGTTACATAATGAGATCTCTTCAAGATGGGACCCAAGTCTAAACATGAAATGTCTTGGTGTGTCATATTCACCACATACAGGTTGACTGTCCCTTCTCCAAAATTCTTGGGACTGGATGTGTTTAGGCTTTTTGTCCCAAATTTTGCAGTCCTTGCATACATACATAATGAGATCACTTGGTGTTCATATAAAGAAGGAAAGTGATGTTTCCTATAAATCAGGCATGGTCAAACTTGGGCCTTCTGGGTGTTTTGGACTTCAACTTCCACAATTCCAAACAGCCTTAGGCCCTTTTCTTTTCCCCCTCAGCCGCTTAAACGGCTGAGGGGGAAAAGGAAAGGACCTAAGGCTGTTTGGAATTGTGGAAGTTGAAGTCCAAAACACCCAGAGGGCCCAAGTTTGACCGTGCCTGCTATAAACCTTATGCACATAGCCTAAAGGAAACTTCATACACGATATTTTTAAATAATTTTGGATATGGAACAAAGCTAGTGTAACATCAGAAAGCAAAGCAGTGACTGTCTTAGCCACCCATGCAGACAATTTTGGAAATTTTTTGGGATTTCTGGATTCTTGATCTGTATTTCACTTCCTCCTATTTGTCTAGCTGTCAGATTATGTGTTTTGTTTTTGTTTTTTCCATATTTCTGATAGTTTCCTAAGCCTGGCTTTTAGGATACTGGTTATAATTACAATTGGTGACAAGTGTGTTGAATGCAAGCAAGAACTTCCAACTTTTGGTATTTAAAGAAAGTGTCATGCTTGCCAATAATGTCCATAAGCCACATTTACCTCCTGTGGCTGAAAAGGTGCTATCAGAAGGAAGCTTTACTCACTGCGAAACTATCGTACAATAATTATCCAGTGTAAACATGAAATAAAGTCATTTGGTGAACACGCAGAATGCCCGTAGAATAATTATCTGGTGTAAACATGAAATAGAGTCACTTGCTGAACATGCAGAATGCTCACAAAACCGGACAGATGTGTAATGCAGATCCTATGCTCAAAATAAACATGTGTGCCAACCCATCTATCATCCAGGATGCAGTTGCTATATCTCCAAGCATGTGCCTGTGTGCACATACAAATATAACGCATATCATGGCAACAATTTGGTGGTCAACAAACACAAACTAACCAAAGCTAGATCTAAAATACCAAGCCATCTTGGTCTTGTGTTTCCTTCTTGTTCCAAAAAAAGGGAGAGCTAAGAATAGCCTTTCATATGAAAAATAGATAACCTGGAGCAATTTTTGCATTTCTTTCCATAGCCTGTTGTGACTCTCTTGGAAAATAATGCTTGCATGTCATGGCATATCGGTACCTTAAAAATAAACCAATACTATAATGTTTGTTGTCAGATATGTATCTCTTCTTGCTTCTTGTTTCCACATATGTTCATTTCTTGGGGGATATGGTTTCGTGCTTTGTTTTGTTTCCTTTCCCTTCCTTTGTTTTTTTTTCCCAGATGAGGAGGGGCTGTAATGTGTGTGTGAAGAATGTCATTCCGAATGCCAAGTCTTGAACTTCCCCCTGGATGTCTGGGGGATGGGGCGGCAGAGACTGATGTGTGCTCTGTGTTGTTTTTGTTCCTCCTCCTCCTCCCCTCTGAGCGATAGCATACAAGTCTGAGTCTGCCTGTGTCCGTGAACTTTACGAGCATCCAGTGCAATATCACTTGGTGCAGATTCCACACGGCTTGCTGGTTTATAGCCCCACAGTCTGCCACCGGCCCATCTGTTAAAACACGCTCTGGCCAAAGCTGAGGAATCCAGGCATGGGGAGCAAGGGAGAGCTTTCCTCTCTCCAAGCCTAAATGCAGATAACTGGAACTCACACAAAGGCACATCACCAATTTGTTTCTGTCTTTTTCTACCCCCAAGGAACTTGCTTCCGAGTAAGTGAGCTTCAGAGGCAGGCTTGGAAACCGGCAGATTTAAAGCATTGGGACTGAGCTGAAAACATCCTGACGAGTCAAGACTTTTTGGGTTCTTGCCAAATTGATTTTAATGATGGGCTTCTGCAAGCGGTTGGTTTGTTTGGGCTATTTTGAGGCGCAGAGGCAATTAGGAGTTATCTAATTAATGGGAGTCTTACACATCATCTTCTCTACCAAATCGGGGGCTGATTAATGAAATGCTGCTCAGAGTTTTCCCTGATCGAACTATTAAATCTGAAGCAGTGCGGCTAAATGGCGTCTACAACGGGAAGGATTCATAGGGTGCTTCTACACTGTAGAATGAATGCAGTTTAACACCACTTTAACTGCCATGGTCCAGTGCTATGGAATCCTGGGATTTGTAGTTTGGTGAGGCACCAGCAGTCTTTCGCAGAAGAGATTAAAGGCCTTGTAAAACCACAGCTTCCATAATTCCACAGCAATTAGTGGTGTCAAACGGCATTCTTTCTATAGTAGGCATGGGCAAACTTCGGTCCTCCAGGTGTTTCAGGCTGCAACACCCACAATTCCTAATAACCTTAGGCTCTTCCTTTCCCCCCTCAGCTGCTTAAGTCCATGCTTGTTCTATGGTGTATGCACCCAAAGTTAGGAGAATTAAAGACATGGGAGCCTTGTCTTATTTACCAAAATTCAGTACTGCAGTG